AAAAAAATATTACAATGCTTGCATTGTCAAAAGCTTATCAAAGGAGAGGAAATAAATAGAATGAAACAGCATCTTGTTGGAAAAGATGGAGAAGTAAAAAAATGCGATAAAGTTCCTCATGATGTTTGCTATCGAATGCAAGAAAGTTTGAGGGAATTTGAAGAAATGAAGAAGCAAGCTAAAAATCAATGGGAAGATAACCCATTTGGTGATGCTGATTTACAAGAGATTCCTACTCCACCTTCTAAAGCTAAAGCAAAAGGAATAGCAACTACTTTAGAAAAGGGTAAAAAAAGAAAGGCAAGTGAGTTGCATAATTATTTTGCTCTGAGAACAACTCTTGGATCTCAATCATCAATTAGAAGTGCAATGGCAGGTATAAAAGATATTCATCAAGTTGATTTAGCTGTTGCTCGGTTCTTCTTTGATAGTTGCATTCTTATAAGTGCCATTAATTCTCCATATTTTTAGCTTATGATTGATGCTATTGCTGCAATTGGTCCTGGTTATAAAAGACCAACTTATCATGCTGTGAGAACTAGTCTTTTGAAAGATTTAAAAAAAGAGTTCCAGATGTTGATTGATCCTTATAGGAAAATTTGGGAAGAAACTAGTTGTACAATCATGGGTGATGGTTGGCAGGATAAAAAAAAATAGACAATTGATTAATTTTCTTATTTATTGTCTTAGAGGGATAACTTTTGTGAAATCTGTTGATGCTTCCGATGTGGTTAAAGATGCTAGCATGCTTTGCAATTTGTTTAAAGAATTGGTTGAATTTGTTGGTGCTAGTAATGTTGTCCATTTAGTCACTGATAATGTAGCTAATTATAAGAAAGTTGAAAAAATGTTGAATGACATATATTCAACTATCCTCTGGTCTCCCTGTGCTGCGCATTGCTTGAATTTAATATTAAGTGATATTGGCAAGTTGGATGTTGTGAGTACATTGGCAACTAGTGCATTATTGGTGACTAAATTTGTATATAATCATGCTTTCTCTTAGCTTGGTTAAGAAAAAGAGAAGGGTGGACTGAATTATTAGTTCAAGGCCAACACAGTTTGCTACTACATTCATTGCATTAAAAAGTATTCTTGATCACAAGCATGATTTGCAAGCATTGGTTACTAGTTTAGAATTTAAAGAGTATAGATACTACAAAGATTCGAAGGCAAAAGATGTTATTGCTGTTGTCTTAGATAATAAATTTTGGAGTAATTGTCAACTTGTTGTGAAAGTTCTGGCACCACTTATGCATCTGCTTAGAATTGTTGATGGTGATGAAAGGCCTTCTCTTGGTTATGTCTATGATGATATGTATAGGGCTAAAAAGGCCATTAAGACTATGTTGATGAATAGAAAGTCTTTATATAAGCCTTATACAAAAATTATCAAGGAAAGATGGGATAGACAACTTCATCAAAGTATCTATGTTGCTGCTTATTACTTGAATCCTTCTTTCTTTTATGATAAAGAGCATTTTTGTACCAAGCAAGAAGTGATGAAAGGGTTTATGGATGTTATGGATGCAAAAATTTCTTTTCGAAAAACAAAATTTTGGAATGAATGTGAGTTATATGAAAAGA